TACTTTACACGTGGTATATCTACAAAAATCAACTTTGGAACTTCCCGCAGTCCTGAGGCGACCTTCGCCCCCCGAAATCACGCCCACGTCTCAGGCTAGGCAAGGTGCCGTCGCCGAATCCATCTCGTCCTCAAATGGGGCGGGGAAGCAGAGTGCTGAACAATAGAGTAGTCAGCAGGCGCGAACTGCGACCCTTCTGCTTGACCTCATGACCTCAGAACCAAGTTCTCGGTTCTGTTACGACCCTTGCCGAAGATAAGCGAGAACATCCTAATCTCGGCCAGGTTGCGAAGAGGAGTTCGTGGTTGTCAGCGGCCTGACTGGGCGACGGCTTCTTACCCGACCCATCCGAAGAAGGGGCCTTGAAACTCACGTAAACTTACATGGGCACTGTACGACTTTTTACCAATTAGTCAGACCCGTGTATTACTGCATGGAATCTGAGTTTCAGCTGCTGCTGTCCAGCAGGGCTATGCGGATTGTAGGAAGGTGCTACGATGTTCCATGGCTAGAGGATTCCGGTCAAGTGTCCTGCAGGAAATCTAAGTCGGTGACGACATTGAATGTGTGGTCTGCTCTTTGCCGGATGCCTGAGAATCACACTGTCGACATGACTGCACAGTCTTAAGGATACGAAGGCTCATATAACATACATTGAAACCTGAACCGACTGGTTGCAGAACCGACGCCTAAAAGTTATCCTGCGCAACATCTCAACAACGGCATACAACGATCATCAAGATGCGCTTCTTTAAAGCACGACTCCAAGAATGACTTCAGCTGAAACGAGGTGGTACACCTTCCGCTTTCCTGGGGTTGTTACCATTGTTCTGCTACGTTTTCGCGATACAACATTTCAACGTTTACAATCTATCTGGAGGGCTGTCATGAACGTGGCCTTTCCAGATTCCAGATGCTGCATGCTGCACACCATGCAACCCACAAGCTCGAAGTTCAAACCCCGACCCGAAACCAGGAACCCTTTAGGGTGCCCTGAAACAGTCCAACAGACCCCATCACATCGACCCCTCTGCACCCATCCTCGCAGAGGCACTCGTTGGCGTTCCTGGGCTCCGCAGCATCTAAAAAGAAGCGAGGAGCTGGGCGACAGTTGAGAAAGGTGGCGCAGCATAAATGACTTTGTGAAAATATGCATGCACGCATGTAAGTTTCCAGTGTGTGTATGATACGTATGTAGTGTATGTGCGTATGTATGTACACACATATACAGGCAGGCAGACAGACAGCCAGACAGCCAGCCAGGCAAGCAGATACACACAAGTACATGTATATTAATGCATACGGAAGTACTTACACACACACACACACGTACATACATGAAGAGTAAAAAATAAAGTCGCATGAAACATGCATTTTCATACGTGCACACTCACATTTGATGAAGACGTCAAGTCCATAGATTCGTTCATGCATAGATCCAATTCTTCAGAAAAGTTCGGCAGTTCCGGCAGTTGTGGGGCATCTACGGAGGTACACCTACCGGGCATGCAAGAAGTTAGAAAATGTATCCGTCAGACCCGGAGAAGGACCTAGGAAGTGGTTCATTCACAGGCATCCAGCAAGAGTGTCTTGGAACTTAGTTTCCAAGCACTCTGGACAGCATCTGCAAACGGCATGTGGCTAGGCAGCTGCCGAATAGCAGTTGCCTGTTGCATCAAAGTTGTACTTCGATCTATGCCACATGCAGCATGAACCGCTGAAATCTGAGCTCCAAACCGAAAACACTGAAAACCCAAACCCTGACCCAGAACTCAACACTCAATAAAAAGATTGCAAGAACGATGGGCCGGGCAAGAAAAAGCCACGGCCTGGATCTTGCCTTCTTTTCGGGTTTAGGATGCATGCTCCATGTCTCAGGCTCAGATTTGGGCCCTTAATAACACGGATCCTAGCAGTGAGACAGCAGCGAGCATACCATGTTTGGGCTTATTTCCTGGTACATCTCCAGCTCCATGGCAGCCTAGGCTCACGTTGCCCATGGCCAGCAAGGTTCGTCGAAGAGCAAGGGGCAAGTTTGAGTAGAGCCGTGAAACTGCGGTTACGGAAAGGCTACAGAGCAACATGTGCCCCTAAACGCCCAAACTGTGAACCCTCAACCGGCTGAGGTTGGAGCAGTACGGTCGAGCTCAAGTGGCGGTGAATCCTAAACCCCAACGGAGGTTTCCTCAATTCTCAACCAGGAATCCGCTCCATAACGAGCAAGAAAACGTACATCCAAGGCAGCACCAGGTCTTCACAACGAAACCTATGTATCTCTGCGAGCATATGTAAGCATACATATATATATATATATACACAAATGCATGTGCTGGTGCGTGCACTTCTGCTACATTGACATAGAATGATGTCCACACTTCCCGCCATGGCTGTAGCCGCAGCCGCCAAGTTCTTATATGCAATGTAGACTCGACTCTTGACCCCGAAGCCGAAAGCCCTGAAGTCCGGAGTCCATGTTTGAAGTGACCCTAACTTTAGAAAGCTGACTCCAAAGCCAGGGTCCTGGCCTTTCAGGGCCAAGCTGAGATCTCCATCAAGGGCGCCTTTGACGGCAACGATTACTGCTGGGCCTTTACGGCGTTAGAATCAGGTTTGAGAACTCACGCTTCGATGCTTGGGACCCTTCGCCCCTCATCCACAGAAAGGGCTCCACAGGCAGCCATCGAGGAGGCGGCAGATGGGCTGATGCACCGTCAGGAGCTTCGTGCCGTCGGGGAAAGTCGCTTCGACCTGCCGGGTTCTTCTCTCAGGTATAATGGGTGTAGGGTTCAGGGTTTAGGGTTTAGGGTTTAGGGTTTAGGGTTTAGGGTTTAGGGTTTAGTTCAGTCTGAAATACACTTCTCAGTGCCGCAGAAGAAGTAGTAGCAGCATGCAGCAGTGCTTCTTGCTGTCGTCGTCGTTGTCGCAGTGGTCCACCGGCACCGGCAAGCCGGGGGCCGAGAGCTGAATGTCCCACTCCAAACCCCGACTCGGCCTCTTTCCACAGCACACGCAGCGGTGGATTTGACACCCTAAACACCAGCAGTATCAATACACTCCTTTCAGAGCTTCAGCAAGATTTATCGGAAAATTGGCGGTTGCCCGAAATCAGAGCCCTGTTGCCCTCCCTCAAACGCGATGGAAACAACGGGCGGAACATCGCCATCGGCGCCGGCATTCGGTCGTCGTCGCTAGGGTAGCACCGGCAAACGATCGCATCACTAACGCGGTATGTGTCGTGGCAACATGATGCTGATGGCGATGGCCACTGTGCTGGTGATTATCCGGATTATGACGGTGGCAACGAGGAGGATGAGAATGGTGCCAGAAACGACAGTGTGGTTGCGACGACTGGGAGAAGAAGGATGATGATGAAGATGGTGGTTAAGGTAATGGTGATGCTGCTCGTGAGGACGACGAAGCGGACTACGACGACAATGATGCCGATTGTGGAAGAGCTGGACCCTACCTTCTGGACTGCATTTCGCGGGAGTTTGTACTATGCAATATGCTGACAGGTCTTCCACCTGTTCCTCCGGATATTTCGTAATGTCAGTTGCCAAAAACATGCTAAGCATGACAAGCATATTGAAAAATGGTCCTAACGAAATCGCTCAACAACACGACTGACGGCCTGGAAACTAAGATGATGACGATACTAGGAGGAATGGCCTATATGATCAAGTACCGGTTGCTATCTCCTGATGACTGAGACCAATGGTCTTCAGCTAGCCTACACGACCTCGGAGCCCCGCTCCACACCCCTCAGACTCCCCCAGAATCCCAAAGCCCTGAACCCCGAAATCGGAGACCGGAAATCTGAAAACCGACTTTCGAATTCACGGAAGCGTAGATCCCAGACATGATAAACTCAGACTGCAAATGCCTGAAGGCCCTCGATATCCCACACCCTCAAACTTCATCTGTCCCGTAAGCGGCTTCCTAAACCCCAAACCCTCGAAAACCCCCGGGATCCTGAACGTCTGGAATGAGCTTCTCGACACCCGGGAGGACCTGCAATGCAGGGCTTAGGCGGTTCAGGGGGCTTTCAGGTTTAGGGCTCCCTGAAGGTGAGGATCACTATAAGGGCACTAGATGTTTTTACATCTTAGGGGTTAGAGGTTCACGGTTAATGGGGGCTTCGGGTTTTCGGGTTTAGGATTTAGGGTTTAAGGTCAGGGTTCATAGGGGATATAGGGCTGTTTCCAAGGTTCTATGCAAGGCTTTAGCAAGGCTCTTCATTGCAATATGCTATAAAGTACTATAATATACAATAACATAACATACTATAATGGTAATCATATGGTTGGGGTTGGCTTCGAGCTAGATACACCCGGAAGACAAAGAGGAATTAGAAATTAGGACGATATGATGTGTACGTATAGCTACGCATGTGGTGACCCCAAGCATAAAAACTTCTTACAGCCCCACACTTCTTCCGAAGAGGTAGGAGAAAATCAGGGCTGTTGCACGGATGTGGCAGCCACACATGGGCTCATGTGGTTTTAAATTCGATAGTATACTGTAATGTACTAGAACGTACAATAATCCAAATTCATTGCTGCTCCAATCTACTCTCCCCTTCTCCACTTTACTTTAGTATACTATACGAAAACTTTTCTACGCTGAACTATATCATATCAAACTATAAGAAAGTAATGGCAAACTATGCTAAACTATAATAAACTAAACTATACTATACTGTATTGTGTATAGTATACGAAACGTTCTGGAATACCCTGTGAGCTGCCATAAGACCGCAGAGGTGCAGTGCCTGTGCTAAGCTAAGAGAACACGCTCACGGGGCTGCGTAAGGTTCTGGGAATCCGGCTCTTATTCATATATGAAGCTGCAGCAGCATGTTCAAGCCCCTAAACCTTGAGCCCCAAGATGTAAGCCCTGATGCCGAAACCCCAGGCCTCAGCCGTCTAAACCCAACAGAAAATGATCTTGCGATCCGGCACACCTGCCGCCGCCCCAGCAGCTTCTTGCCAAGGTCCATCAAAGCCGAGACGGAGAGGCCGTCTCGGATAAACCTGAGCAGTTCAGATCCTTGCAGCCCAGACCTACTTGGTCTGAGTACTAGCAGAAGCACTATCAGTAGCAGTAGTAGTAGTAGTA